GGCCCCTCCCTCCCTGTCTCACACACACCGGGCCCCTCCCTCCCTGTCTCACACACACCGGGCCCCTCCCTCTCTGTCTCCCACACACCAGGACCCTCCTTCTCTATCTCACACTCACCAAGATCCCTCCTCTCTGCCTCTGTGATGCACACACGCCGGGCCCCTCCCTCTCTGTCTCACACACACGGGGCCCCTCCCTCCCTGTCTCACACACACGGGGCCCCTCCCTCCCTGTCTCACACACACCGGGCCCCTTCCCCTCTGTCTCGCTGTCGCACACACACCGGGAGGGGCAATGTCGGAGACAGCATGGGGATCAGGCTGGTTTGCATCTGAGGTCTCTCCTCCAAGCTGATCACTGACAGCCTCCATTTCTTTCCTCATGTGAGCAACAGCATCCCTCAAGTTCATGTTCTGCTCTTGCAACCGCTGGATCTCACTTGATGGAAAACCTTGACTTATTTCTTCTTCGTGATGCCTCCGGAGTGTCTGTCAAACGAAAAATAAAGCCGAAATTGAAATATACCTGCGCAAGTGGCGCCACTTGATTTCATACAGAGGCACGAAGGCAATTCGGTCTTCAAGGCAAGGACAATCTTCAACAAGCGGTGCTGGGACAACTGAAATCCACACACAGAGAACCTGCACTGCATCCCAGCGCTTAGGTGCAGATGAGCACGAACTTGGTCACAGCCCAGATATGGGGTGTTACACTACAGACCCGCCAGGAGAAGGCGCGGCAGAAATCTCCACGACGACGTCAGGTTCGGCAGAGCGTAGCAACACGACACCAACAGCACATCCCACCTGCGGGAAGTGGTGAAGTCGAACATCAGGGAAAGCAAAACCTGCCCTGCGAAGGGCCATTATGGGGATGACAGGAGAAGCCACGTTTGCAAGTCACACACACACACACACACACGACAAAGCGCTGGTAGCTGAAGACGTCAAGAACTCTCTCCGTCAACAACACGCAGGAGCCAAGTGATCTCCCGACTGCTGCTTCCCTGGGCATCACCTGTGGCTCCAAGTAAGAGGCAATCCTTACAACTTCAGTCTTCTCTCTGTTTATCACCATGCTGCTTGCTGGTCAAGCTGTGAGCATTTTCGTTCTTATGTTGAGGTGTAATCCATACTGGAGGCTGTACTATCTGATCTTCATCAATAAGTGCTTCAAGTCTTCTTTGCTTTCAGCAAGCAGGGCTGTGTCATCAGCCTATCAAGTTAATGAGGCTTCCTCCAATCCTGATGCCACGTTCTTCTTCCTATAGACTAGCTTCTCAGATTATGTGCTCAGCATGCAGACTGAACAAGTACAGTGAAGGGGCACAGCCCTGACGCACCCCGTTCCTGATGTTAAGCCACACAGTATCGCCTCGTTCTGTTCAGCAAAGTGAACCTGTGAAAGCCGGAACTCGGCAGGACTGCCTGGCTTCCAGGTCTTGCAAGTTTCCCGTTTCTGACCAGGTGCAGTCTGGCCAGCCTCCTATCGATCTCTGTGAATGGAAAACACTTCCATCCTCCTTCTCCGACAGGTTTCTGCCTTACGCAGGTTCCAGCTTTTGCAGGTTTCACTGTACATAAAACCAGTGTGTACACAGGAATCCAGGTGACATATAGACGTACACAGAATGCAACAGACCCTCAGATCCTTCCTGAGACATGGCCCCCACCTCCAGCAAGGCCTTTGTACCAGAAGCTACCCAGTTCACAGCACAGCCCCTGCGCGTGGCTGACCACCTCCACCACAAAGCCTGAGAGCCCGCTTGCGGCAGCCGCCGCCCCGCCGATGTCGTTTGACAGGCTGCTCTGTGCTCTTGTGCCTTTCCTCACTGTCAGCACCCTGTGGGCAGGAAGGTGGGCTTGCTGTCACCCTGCACCCCGTGTGCTGGCCAGGGACCTGTGAAGTGCACTCCCCAGTCCTGTCTTCAGAGTCATGCCACTCAGAGGCCAGACTTCCTGTCGGATGGTGCCCAGGAAGGCTGTGGACATCCGGGGGGATTTCACCCAGCAGCCTCACCTGAGGGCCCCCAGGAAAGGTGGCAGGTGGGCTCTGATTGACCCTGACCCCAGATTGCTGCCAAGGGCCCCCAGGAAAGGTGGGGGGTGGGCTCTGATTGACCCTGCTAAGGGCCAGTGTTTATCTGACAAGGAAATGAGCCAGTTGATAGGCTCCCAGATTCGCTGGCTGGGAGCCCAGACCCAGCATGTGTCCTGAATTGTCAGCCTGGGGAAGAGAGAGAAAAACCATGGAGGGGGGCATGGAGGAGGGAACACACCATCGTCCCCTTCCCATGTCCTAGAGACGGGTCTAGGCCCCTGCACAAACCACAGGCAGGGACCCCCACGGCTCTGTAGGAAGAGGGTGCCACACCTGCTCCAGGGCCTCAACAGGCCCCCCGAGGGACCCTGCCTGCTGGCCCACAGCCTTGGCAAGCTCACCAGGTGTCTGGGAACAGCCAGGTTGGGGACTACGCCTGGAAGCTGCAGGCAGAAAGCACCCATGGCTGCACAAGGAGAAAGTCCCTCTTCTTGGAGGATTGGATGCTGCCTCCCTCAGGGGGACGCAAGGCTGGCTGTGGACGCCCAGGCCCCGCCGCCCAGGACAGGTCCCCAGCATGGACACATGCCCTGAGGACAGACACAGCAGGTAACCGAGCTGCGAGGACTGACCATTGGGGCCGGGGAGGTGCATCCACGCCACGCAGAGGGCTCCTCCAGGGACCCCTTGGTCACCTGGTAAGGACTTTTATGAGGAACAGAGATCAGCCTGTGAAGCGCGTGGGCGCAGCACCGGCCCTGGTTCAGCTGTGCAGCTGGTCATCAACTCTCTGGGGGCCTGAGTGGGTGGGGGACACTGAGGCGAGACATGTGGGGGCCGAGGTGGCATCATGGCCGTTGACATGCCAGTTTCACTGCAGCACTGACCTCAGGGCACAGGCCTGGGTCGCCTCTTGCCATTCTTAAAGTACCTGGCTGGGCCCCATTAGGCTCGTCCTGAGAGAGTCCTGATGAGAGGAAAGGCCCGCCCGTCTGGCGACAGCCCTGGCAATGTCCCCTCAGGTAAAGACACACAAGGCCTTGCTTCCCTGTACCCCTGGAGAGACGGGGCTTCGGGTGGACGTCTCAGATGCCTCGTTCTCAGCTAGTGCCACAGACCAACGCTAAACCAGCCAGGCACCTGCCTTGTGCAAGGCGCCACAGCAAGTGATGTCGTGGTTCACGGTGTCCTGAGCCCACTGAGGCCACTCTTGCCCTGACACCACCAAGGACATCCGCGCACTGACACCACTCCGGAATGGCTGTACCCCTACTCCACCCCAGGACGCCTGTGCCCGGACACTGGCAAGGACGCCCATGCCTCGATCCCACTCCAGGACTTCTGCGCCCCCACCCCGCTCCAGGATGCCCACACCCCCACCCCACCCCACGACCTTGGGTCTTCCCTCTACCTGCGAGCTGTCATTCCACTCAAAGCCATAGCCTTCCTGGTGCTAAAATGATATTGCCTGCAGGAGCTCCCACCCACCAGAGAGTCCCCGCCCACCCTGTGGCCCGCCTGCGGGAGCCCGTCTGTCCACCCTGAGGCCTACCTGCAGGAGCTCCCAGCCACGCTGCAGCCTGCCTGCGGGAACCCCCGTCTACTCTGCGGCCTGCCTGAGGGAGCTGCAGGTGCCACCTCCTTTCTCAAGAAGGTTTTGTGCATAGCAGAGACGGACTATAGATGCTACCCCTCTGTACTAGAATCTGAGCCCCTGGAGGAGATGGGGTTACTGGGCTCTGCACGCTCCCTGGATGAGGGTGCTGAGGAAGTGTGAGTGGGTGGATGGAGTCATCAACAGTCTTAATGTGGCCACGGTGGGTCCACCTGCAGCCTCTGCCACAAGCCGCCCCCAGGACACAGTGAATCACAGGGAGGGGAACCCGAGCAGTGGGGCCACTGGGGGGTGGTACCACAGGAAGGCGCGGGGCCATCTGGGGGGTGAAACGCCCTGTGCCTCTCGGCTGGGTCAGTGCACCCCATTAAAACAGACAGCACAAGAATAAAGCCAATCACAGGTCTGGCCCAGTCCCCACTCGCTTTCCTCCCTCCCAGCCTCATGCTGGCCCTGACCCTTGACACCTCTGTCCCCCGTGAGCGTGGCTGCAGGGCACGGGTGTGCAGCCCCGCTCTGCTCCTTGCACGTTGTGGCTCCTCCCAAGCAAAGGGCACCTAGTTCCCATGCCCCAGAAGATGAACAGCAAGTTCCTGGGACAGTTCCTGGCACAGACAAGCACCTGACACGCTTTCCCTGTCAGGCCCACTGCCAAGCCTGACCAGGACCACAGGGCAGCATGACTGCCCTGAGGACCTGAGTTTGTCACCCGTCCTGGTGCGGCACTTGTGGGGGTTCTGGAGACATGTGGGCTAAGCTGTACCCCTCACTCTGCAGGCCCCACGTGCCCTATGTCTGCCACCAGAGTCCAAATGCTGACAGGTGCTGACCAGGCCTACCTGGCTTCCACTGATGCTGGGGGGAGGTCCAGAGCTGGTAGGGTGCAGGACGGGCTTGGGGATGGGGTGCTAGTGGGGTACTCTCACCTGTGCCTCCTTCTCGGGAAGGAGCCCATGCATCCTCAATGCATTCACCGCCTGGTCTCTCTCGAGGGCCAAGGCCTTCAGCACCTCCTCCTTGTCACACAGCCTCCGCTCTGCCTCCTGGAGTTTGGCGGTAGCCTAGGGGAAGGTGGACTCACTTCCTCTGTGGGTCTAGGGAACGGGGCTAGCCCACGAAAGAGACCCGCTCCTGGTCCTCCCAGGGACCACGCGTGCTCTGTGGAGGCCCACAGGGAGACACACTGTGCTCTGGAGTGCCCCGCAGCGGGGCAGACAGACAGTATGTTCCGGGGGCAGCCCATGGGGAGACGTGCTGTGTTCTGGGGCCACCTGCACCTCCCAGCACCTGAGGTGGGGTGTTGGGATGACGGAAGTGGTGACAATTGTAATTGACATCACTAAACCATATGCCTGAGAAATGCCAAATTAGCAAATGAGGGTTCCAAGTGGGCCTTGCACCCACCTGCTCCCGGGCTGCAGCCAGGCCCTGGATCAGGTCCTCTGACTTGCGGTACTGGTCCCGCTCGGCCGCGTCACAGCGGCGCTGCCAGTCCAGAACCAGCTGTACCTTCTCACGCTCCAGGCTCTGCTCCCTGGTCACTGCCGCCGCCAGCTGCTCCTGGTACCTAGAGGGCACCCAGTGCTCCGTCCCTGAGCCCCTTGGGACAGGGCTTCTCGGGGAAGCCTAGGATGCCCGCTGCAGTCACCTCTCCCCAGCGTCTCCCCGTCCCCCCCTCCGCGTCCCCTCGGGCACACAAACCACCAGAAAATCTTCCCAGTGAAAAAAGCTAACCTCTCTCCACCACTCACTGTCCCTCCCCTCTACTTACTGGCTCTCCCTCCCTCGCGCGGGGCCCTGTCCCCTCAAACCTGCTCCATGCCCAGCCAGCACCTCCAAGGCCCCAGCTGGCCCCACAGCCTGTGACAGCCGCCACCTTCCCTGGCTAAGGACGCACACAGGGCCCTGCTGAGAACCTCCCCCTCCAAGCACCCAGGCCCTGCACCACTGATGCTCCCTGTAGGTCAAACGTGTAGGGGCGAGGCCTGAGCTTGCTCCTCGCTTCCCTGCTCACGCCACACATGCCCCAAGGCCTGCCTGGGAGGTGCTTAGTGGGGATGCTGCGGGATGGTTACCTGCCAACGTCCTGCTGAAGCCGGGCTGTCTGGGCCTTGAGCTTCACCACCTCCTCCTGCAGAGCATGGACCTGCAGGTCCTTGGAAACGGCCTCCTTGGACAGCTGGGCAACCTGGGCATCCCAAGCAGACTTCAGGCCTGAGACCTCCTCTCGGAGGCTGACAGAGAAAGGACATCCGGGAAGAGAGAACAGGTCACTCATTCAACCTGTCCCAATCTCACATGGGGCCCTGACACACTCAGATATACACACATGTGTGCACATGTGCACACACACACACACACCTGCACAGGGGCTTGCTTGCTCGACCTGTCCCAATCTCACACAGGGCCCTGGCACGCGCGCACACACACACGTACACACACGTGCACACACACATCTATACTTGGGGCCTGCTCACTCAACTTGTCCTAATCTCACACAGGGCCCTGACACACATACACGTATACACACATGCACACACACACATACCTGCATATGGGGCTTGCTCACTCAGCCTCTCCCAATCTCACACAGGGCCCGAACACACTCACATACACACATATGTACACACATAAAGACACTTGCACGTGGGGCTCACTTGCTTAACCTGTCCCAATCTCACGCAGGACCCTGGTACACACACACACACGTGCACATATGTACATACACACACACACCTCTGCAGGTGGGGCTTACTTGGTCAATCTGTCCCAGTCTCACATAGGGCCCTGGCACACACACACATGTGCACACACATATACACACCTGCATGCGGGGCTCACACACTCAACCTGTCTCAGTCTCACACAGGGCCCTGGCACACACACACATGCACACACATACACACACCTGCAGGTGGGGCTCACTTGGTCAACCTGTTCCAATCTCACACAGGGCCCTGGCACACGCACACATGCAC